TACAGAAAATGAAGGTGACAACGAACCGACAGCTTTCACACTTGCCAGTCTATCGTAGATCAGACAGCTATTGAAAAAGGAGTATGAACAACAAGGTTGTGTTGGGCACGCCGCATATGTGTGTGCTCACCCCCCCCCCACCCCCCTTTTGCCCGAGCCCTTACGTAAATCGTGTGAGTGTAGTAGAGAACATTGAACTTCGCTTCACTGTGTCTGACAATGCAATGGTGATGATGACAGCTAGTCACCAGGGAAGAAACCCAAACGAAAAGGGAAGCATGATCATTGACTCGGCTCCTATATATCATTTCAGGTCATGAAAGGAAACCCCATCAGTAATCTGAACAGTAACAATCCGATAGTATCCTGAAAGAGTCAATCACTGGGTCTATGTAACATACGAATCAGTTAAAACAATTAGTGAGGATCACGTGTCTGTGGTTGTTAAACTACGACCAAGCCAGGGGAAAAGTGAACAGTTTTGGTGTGTCACCAAAGGAAAAAGCAAAATATCGTCAATCGTCAGTCTACACAGTCTACCTGAAATCGATTCGAATCGATAGACCGAACAACACCCGTGTGAACAGATTTCCGTGTCGAACATTTGACTCGCTCTATCACATCCGGGTCAGTCACCAGATGAGTACAATCTGATTCAGTGTTGTCATCAATTAATTCGATAGCGCCAGCCAAAGCATCCGGATCGTACATTGTGAGGCCACCATTTGCGTCCCCGGCAATCAACACGCCGAGAGGAGACCGAGCGCGACTTGAGGTCCAGCAAATAGAAGTAGCCCTAACAACGAGAATTGGGTAATAGGAATAAGAGATGAACTATCTGAGCTCAAGCAACCAGCCCCCTCCCCTCCCAAAAAAATACAACGGGAGAACAGAAGTAGACATCAGTATAACTCACTTAGAATCCACTTCGATGCCGATTTTTGGTCGCATGTCCAAATCCGAGGAGGACAGATTGGGACAGAACATTTCCAACAAAGGTGGGCTCCTGGAGGCGAAAAGGATGAAACAGTAGGATATGGTTTTGACGAAGGATGGACCAAACAATCTATAGAAAAGTAAAACTGATCTAATGGAAACCAGTGGATGATTGTAATCTATGTGACTCGCAACGGAACGAGAACGGCAATCAACATGAGGGATCAACACGAGCCAAAAACTAAATCAATTTATGAGATATGCGGTAATCGTACACGCTGATATTCCAACACGTAGTATAAAACGGTCACCGGCATGAGAATGAGATAACTGTTTGCATGTAATTATTTCTCATGAAAGGAATAGTACTTTTGATTCCTGGGTTTTAGTGTCAGGACTCAGGTAATTTCTCAGTTTATCATGCGTCATTTGTGTCTCGGCATAAGTGAGTTCGAAATCTTGAGCTCAACAGTCACTCGCAAAAGCCACAGTCGCAACGGCGCTCATCGAAGTAAAAAAAACCCAGTGGGTTTGTTCTATGTGATGGGGAAGATACTTAAATCGTGATAGTAGCCTAAGAATAAGTAATTGAAAAGAATTCTTCGCTGTACAGTAGTTTAGGAGCCGTCACCGGTGTACTTTGAGACCGATGGTCCGAGGTCCGAAACCTTAGATAGCCGACTAACTTTGATGCCGTCCGGCTCAACACCACGCTAAACCTAGAAGGGCCTTGCGTGGTTTGCCACTTCAATTCCTGGGGCTTTGGTTACCGGTGTCCCTCACTGAACAGCAGATCTTTGCTACGATGAGGTCCACCCCGTTCGCTGTTCGTCACAAAAACATGTGCAATAAAAAACAATAGTTAGAAACAGGTGGGGAGTCAAGAGTGCACACAACAGAAACTGAGACAAACAGAAAACAGATCATGATGCAAAGTTTACACTGTAATACTCGGTCACCCAATTTGTAGGCGGTTGGCTTGAGAGACGAACTATAGGAACAGTGTTTCGAACCCAGCACCTGTTAGCTGACTTTCAGTCGGTCGGGCTATACGCTATGCCCCGGGGGCTCCCACATTTGATGTCTCCCCTCTCCCGAACCTCAATGTTCAGTCGAACCGAGGACCTTGGTGATCAGTTTGTTCTGAGGTCATTTTATACATTTCACTAAGATTAGTTTGAAATACCGGTTCACGAAATCGTGAAATATCTGTGCAGATGACTCGACCACTTCACTATAGCTTCACAGATGACTTTCATAATGGACCGGTGCCAAAACTGAAATTTGCAAATACATAAAGCAGTTTAATGCATAAACAACACACGGCCTGTTGCCCGGTAGCACATACGAGTGTAAAGCAGATTATTTCGAACGTGTAACAGCCAAATGTACGATTCTGTTACCCGAAACTTCCCGCCTCGGATAAAATAAACAAAGCACGGACCAGCAACTATTGGACACCTGGAGCATTTGAAGAATTGAAGATTAAATGTTTACTGTGTTACTTATCGTGCAACATTAACGGGCAACAGATAACTGTAACGGGCAGTGATGGCCCGGTGGTAGTGTCACCAAATTATCACCGCGGGGGACGAGTGTTCGAATCCCGCTATCACCGCTTTACTGTTCTCATTTGTGTGTTGTGTGGCAGCTCTTCGATTGTCCGTTCCCCCCTTCATGAAAATTGTATCGTTGTGTATTCAACAAAAGGAATCAAAAATGGTAAAGAAAGACAAAGAAAGTTAGTAGCAAAACAAAGCTATTCAACAATTCGAAGGTCTCCCTTGTAATCTGATCACAATTGTTAAATATGAATTCACACAACTTCCTCAATAGATCATTTCCCGAATGTTCCCGACATTGCTTTTAAGAACATCACTTGTGATTCGAATATATAGAGAGAGAGCAAACAGCGTTTTTACTCGGCACAAACACAAAACCAACGGGTCTTTCAACGCCCAAAGGAAGTGGAAGAAAACCTAACTGACCAGTCAAAACAGCAAAAAAAGGATAACCAACAATACTTACGGATAAGTGGGTTCGTCGGACATGGGACTTTCATAAGCCGCAGTGACCGTAGCCAAATATACTGGATCCACCGTCGGCGGGGACCAAGCGGAGAACGCAAAGCGCTCGAACTCTTTAACTTTCAACATCTCAGTCTACCTGTTAAGGTGGAGTAGGATGAGAGGATTTAGATTCGAGTGGCCCGTCGAATGAACCCTATCGTTCATCAAAAACAATTGGATTTAATGAAAATCAACAAGTTTCGTTTGGGTTAACTAACAGTTGGTAGTGAACCAGATCATCAAAGACCTTAAGAATGATCGCAAGAAGTGGTGAGTCACAGAGTAAAAGGAGTTACGGTTATTCGCACCAGTCGTACTTTTATCTGGCTAATTGGGCGTAGGGACCCAAGAAAAGCAGGGGTGAGATAATGAAAGAGTTCGATGGCACACTGACACATATTCAGCAACGCCGTCTTGAACGACGGGCTGAGAATTTCCAGGTTCGGTTGAGTAGTGGTGGCCCGGTGGTAAAGTCACCAAATTATCACCCTGGAAGACGTGCGCTCGAATCCGACCACCACCGCCTGACTCCCCATTTGTGTGTTACGGCAGCCCTATGATTGGCCGCTTCCCCCTCCTGAAAATTGTATTATTAAGTATTCAATAAAAGGAAGTAAATATATAACAAAACTGGTCCCGTCGACATTAAATCAGTGAATCCCTATGCCTATTGGGCAACTACTGCCAGTTGATATCAGTCCTCCACCGGGTTAAATGACCACTGGTAGTCAGTCTAGGGAGGTGGCTAGAACCCAGATTCCAAACTACCTGTACTTGGCGTACAAAAGTGATAATGACACTAATTCTCGGTGCAAACCCTCATCGCCTCTGAATGGTCGGGGGTGGGTGTCATGGGTTACAACTGGTCACCCTTCCCTTGCACCTCGCGAAATGCTCCCATACGACCAAGCGTCTCCAAAAACCGCTGCTGAGGAAGTCCTATTCACTGCCTTCTCGTGGCGGATGTGTTTTCCCCACCAAAGTGAGGGGACAAAAAGCCCATATCCGAGTCGATGAACCACTGGCAGTTCACCTAGGGGAGTAGGCTAAAAACCCCGATTCCGAACCAACTAAGAACCTCACACGCACCTTCCTGGTTGTGGCAGTGGGCACCGGCTCGATTGGACACCTCAGACGGTTGACCACGTCCAATGGGCGTACGATCCGCTAAACTGGACACCGGTCTTCAATGGATAGTGGCTTCCTCACGAAGCCCGGCTGTCTTGCGGGTTAGGCTTTAGTTAGCCAAAGGCTCCGATTGTGGATTACTCAAGAAAATGCACCTGCCTTGGCCCGGGCAACCTGGCAGTATTCCGCCTACATGCAAATCACAGAACGCTTTTTATAAAGATTATTGTGCCACGATTTGTTTGGCACATAGTCTGGATTCAGACATATGTGAAATCATATAGAGCAGGCTGCGGTAGACGACAGCTGGAAATGCACAATGTCTACTAAAGAGCGAAGCATACTTGTCTGAACACGACGTGATGAATAAATGTTAACTGAATCGTTCTTAAACGCACAGCGACCTATCCCAGTGTTCCTAACCGGCTTACATGCACCAAAATACGTAAACATTGACAGTCGAAGACCTCAAGACGATGAATATCTTCGACCGGTTACTATCACAACCGACTGTTCCTATTATGAAGACGCTATCAAAGCTCTTGAGGGGTTTTACGTTAAACAGAAGAACGAAGGTTTCGCGCCACATTGACTTGCAACAACAAAACAAGAACAAATACAATCGGCTGCCAAGGTTTACAAAAACTCTCGCAAAGGATTGTAACTTCGTCGCGATTGCCACCGAGAAACAGCGCGATAAAACTACCTGCGGTGCTTTCATCACGCGGTTGGTTTCTCACGATATTCGACAAACGTTTCTCGAGAAGCGAACCCTAAGTTTACAATGTGCTTTTAAAGAGGCTCATACTTTGTAGAATGCACAGCAGCAGTCGCTCACGATTCAATCTTACATGTACCCTGTGGTTCCATGACTAACCAGATATTCCAACAATTTACTAAAACGTCCTGGCGTTCCCGATTCACAACCAGAGACCAAAGAAGCTGTTGCATTGTTTTCCACTAAAAGCTTTTTCTGAGGAAGTTATGGACATCCTCGTTCGAAATACCAGACCCAAAAAGCCACATGTAATTCTTGTGGAAGGGTATTTCCAAAAGGTTTATCGATTCAAGTTCAACACGCATCTCAGACGCACATTATCTGCGTTAAATCCAACCACTTTGTCCGTTGTTACAATATCATCATTAGTCGGTTTCTCCAGTTCCATAGAAAAGATTCAAGTCAATGGAATAACTCTGAGCGGGCTAACTGATATAGGCAGTTATGAAAGCTATCTGTACAACATTGCTGCTAAACATCAATGATCTGCAGAGTCCTCTAAACTTATCATATCAATGGCTTCCATCCATCTATCCTGTATTACCCAAGGGTAAATGTATGCACTTATTCAATATAAAAACACATTACAATAGGATGAAACTTTCCCTTCTAAAAGATTTGTGTACTAACGTCATTCTCGGCCTAGATTTCCTCAGCTAACATCAGAATGTAATAATTCCTTTTACTGGCAATCGTCCACCCTTCTCTGTATGTACCCTTAGTGCAGCAAAAAGTGGGCACTCCCCATTTGTTTAAAAATCTACCCCAAACTGTGCACTTATCGCTACAAAATCGTGTCATCACTCAGTTTCCGATCACGATTTTCTCGAAGCCGAAGTCAAACAATTATTGTTAAACAAGATTATAGAACCTTCCACATCTCCTTGATGGGCAAAGGTTCTTGTAACAACTAACGAGAGATATAAGAAACGGATGGTGAATGAAAACAGTAAACGATGAACCGTTTCGCTTATCTTGATGCTTATCCTCTGCCAGGAGTGGATAAACTGGTGGAAAAGGTGACCCAATATTCTGTGTTCAGTGCACTTGATCTGCAGAGCGCCCATTACCAAATTTCCATTTGAGAAGAGAAAAAGCAATCGAGATGTACGTGGATAACGTTCTAATGTGCGGCCTTGAACGGGAAGAACGTGACCGAAGTCTCCGCAACCTAATCGATGTCGCCAAGAAACACCGTACAGCGTTCAATGAACACGAGTGTAATCGGGGCTGGTGAAATCCTTCTTCTGGGTACGAAGTTTCCTAATGCTTGATCAAACCAGACTCCGAATGATTCTCGGCCTTGAAGGAGCTACCTCCCCCGAATGATATGGTTTCACAAATACGAGTGGTGGGGATGCTGGCGTACTATGCTCATGGGATCCCACAATTCTCAAACAAAATTAACTCATTAGTGTATAATCACACCTTTCGCATCTCGGAAAAAGTAAAATCTTCTTTGGAAAAGTTGGAGAAAGAGAGGCCGCCGCGTTTTTCGTTGATAACAACCGCCGATTGAACATTGAGACTGACGCATTCGACATTGTAACAGCGGCAACACTCAATCAGGACGGACGTCCGGTGGCTTTCTTCTCGCGTGTCTTGTTCCCGAGTGAGCTTCACTACTCAGCGATCGAAAAAGAAGCGTACGCAATCGAAGAATCTCTAAGAAAGTGGAAACATCTTCTGCTTGTGAGTTATTTTACTCTTATCACAGAAAAGCGTTCGGTTGTCTTTCTGTACAACAGGCAGCAAAAAGGCAACGTGCAAAACGATAAAATTCAACGACTTTCGGTTTTTACAACCATTACTCATGTACTTTCCTGCGCCCGTTTCCGTTGATGTCTTTTGATCGCCCATCTGGACAGAAGAACAGAATGAAGATTGGAATTATTCGCATTTAACTTACAGTTACTTGTGATTAGTGGTGTGGGATAATGGATATTGATGGATGTCTAGCGCTTCGAGTGTATGGTTGAATCGACGAACTAAGGATTGTGCGTGAAGGTGAAGTCCGAAGGATAGTCAGTTCAAAAATGCAACGTTGAGAGTAAATTCAAGCGGAAGATAGAGCATTCATATAGACTGAGGTTGCAGTAATGATGTGTAGGTGCACGAGCGCCACTGTTTGCGACACCCAGTCATATCACTCAGTGTGTCTAACCACCTGTGACCATGACATCGAGATCTCCATCCAGGGAGCCCAACGGGACCTATGTGACCCAGACTCCTGGTTAGGGTTTTCATACCCTAGTGCTAAGTCTTAGTTTGACCGCCCTTGACTTTCTTCCACCCACTACCCGCATCGGTAAACATCGTTCACCGTGGCAGCCTATTTGGTGACATGCGTAACACATGCCCCAACCAACGTAATCGACGGAAATCGACCACCTGCTCCAGTGGGAGACCGCGGTTATCAAAAACTCTGCGCTTAACCTTAGCATTGCTCGTCCGGTTAGCCCATCAGATTCGTGCAACGCTGCGTACACGGCGGTGTTCAAACATCAACATTCTATCTCTATCCTGTATTCTTAATGGTCGATTTTCTGCGCTGTGTAGCAGAACTGGTCGAACTGCATCAGCGTATACTCGATCCCTCACACAACCGGATTTCGCGGCGGAGCCACATGTCTCAAGTTGGCAAATGTCATCCGAGACTTCTGAATGCGAGCTGATACTCCATCCGTGATGCGTCCTCCGGGTGAGATATAGCTGCCCAAATAAAACATCCACTTGCTCTGTTACTTCACCGGTTAATGAGGCTGAATGCTGGACCAACCCAGTCTTCTAGTAGCATTTTACACTTTGAAGGTGCAAAACACATACCGAACGTAGATATAATAACACTCAAACTATTCAGAAAAGCTTGCAACTTACCTGGATCTTCACTTAGCAGCAAAATGTTGTCTTTATACTCCCGATAAGACAGTTTGCCATCTGAGAGCAAACCGATGCCGCTGTCTTCACACGAGGATAGGTCTGTTTCAAGAAGTACATACATGACAAAGCCCCTCTGCCCTGCGGGTCAAACAATGGCTAGCCGAAGGCTCCGGTTGTGAACTCCCTAAGAAAAATCACTTACTTTGGCCTGGGCAACTTAGCAGTACCGTGCCCCAAAGAAAATTATGGACATTTTTCTTTTGTAAAGCCTATTGTAGCTTAATTTGATTGGCACAAAGTT